TCTCTATGTTCATAATTTTATCACTATATGTTCATAATTGTAAGTTCATAATGTCAGAGCTCTTTGTTCATAATTCGATCAATAACTGTACATTCATAATTCCATAACTGTAGATTCATAATCTCATAACTGTAGATTCATAACTCCATAACTGTAGATTCATAACTCCATAAATGTACATTCATAACTCCATAACTGTACATTCATAATCTTCGAAGCTCTATATTCACAATTTTAAAGCTCCATGGTCATAATTTTATCACTATATGTTCATAATTGTAAGTTCAAAATGTTAGAGCTCTGTGTTCATAATTTCATAATTGCATAACTGTACATTCATAACGGCATAACTGTACATTCATAATCCAAAAAAAAAAAAAATAAAAATAACGCCGTTAACGGCAAAACACGCGCGAATTTTTTTTTTTTATTTTTTAACTAAATGACGCGTTTTTTTGAAAAACGACGTCGTTTTGGGCCCGTGTCCACAATTCATTGTGGACACGGGTCCAGGGCATAATTTGCCCATGATGAACGGGGTCGGAATATACGTCAAATTATTCTGTGTACCACGGTTCAAAATAACGTCATTTTGATGTTAACAAAAAAAAATTATAATAATTGTTCCGCTTGTATGTTAGAATAAAGAACATTTTTGGGGTACAATAATGTATTTTATGTGTTAGAATAATTAAATTTCTAAAGTAAGAAATATTAAAGCTTGATTCATAAATAATGTTAAAGTAATTCTTTGAAAGAGACGATTGAGTAGGTAGAGCATAATTCTCATATCAAAAATCACAAATTTAATTGTTGTTAATACATTCTCGATCGAATATGTTACATATGATATTTTTAGTGCGATTTATTTCTTTTGTGTTGGATTTGATAGGTTAGTTTTAGTAGTTGGTTAATATGGCAGCTTGGAGAAAAAAATTAATAAAGAAAAGTACTGCAAGCTAAGTAACAATGACTTGAAGGTTGAAGCTGACTAGTTGCTTTGTAAAGTTGAAACAAGTAGCCATTTCATATACATTTGGTTGGGTCAAATTTCATGGATACTCACCACATGGGAAATATATACCTAACAACATTTTAAAATACCTTTATTTTATTATTGGTATACTGAGAGTTGATTTCATATCAACTGTAACAATGTGTTAGGTATTAAAAATAATAAGGGATAAAATATAGTATATAATTTGATAAGTTAGACGCATTATTCCTTTAATTTGGTTAAATTATAGAATGTTTCACATCTCTTACTTTTCTTTTCATTTCATTTCTTTTAATCAAACGAGATGGGTACTCAACAAGCAGTAACTCTTCATTATTACTAACAAATTAAACATTGACTATCAAATTTAGCATATGAGCTAATTCTCAAATGGTCCTCCGACTATGTCTTTTCTCAAATTGATCCCTTAATTTTTAATTTCTCTAAAGTGGTCTTCTGACTTTTGAATTCTAAGTTAAAATACACCTCTGTTAGTTTTGGTGTTAAGTTGGTGTTAAAATGAAGGGTAAAACTAAAAATTTAGATTTTGCACTCCAATTTAAAGCAATATGTGATTTCTTTAAGCACTCTGCGCACATATTTCTTCAAATTAGGTTTTTGTTCTCCTAAATTGCAATCAAAATGTGGGATAATCATCTAGAAGGCCAAAAAAGTTCATCTTTAACTTCACCCACAAACTTCCCAAGGCAAAAATTTTTGGCCTTCTAGTTGATTATCTCACATTTTGATTGCAAATTTAGGGGAGCAAAAACCTAATTTGAAAAAATATGGGCGCAAACTGCTGAAAGGAATCACAAATTTCTTTAAATTGGAGTGTTTCCAATTTTACTCTTCATTTTAACACCAACTTAACGCTAAAGCTAACAGAGAACTATTTTGACTTAAAATTTAAAAGTCGAAGGACCACTTTGGAGAAATTTAAAGTCAAGGGACCAATTTGAGAAAAGGTCGTAGCCGGATGACGATTTTGGAAATTAAATCTTTAGACTATTAAATTTTTACCAGGGCCGGCCCTGGGGCACGGGCAGGCTGGGCCCTTGCCCAGGGCCCATGCTTGGGGAAGGCCCCATCCTATCTCTTATACATAGTATATATGTATTGAGTATTAGTAATTTATATACATATGTTTTATAGTAAGGTGAATTAGTTTGCCTGATAAGATATTTAAATTTTAACCTCATTTAATCAAAGGCTGGTGATCCCATCCTTCCCTTCACATTTTAGAATTCCTCAATTTTACTTCTTTGCTTATATTTTAATGTATCTTTTAAAAAATTATTTTTATTGATTTTGTGTTTAATACGGAGTACTATTTTTAATGTAATTTTTAAATATATAATTTTTTAATGTAGTTTCTAAATTTATAAATTTTTGTACACTTATACTAAACATATTATGAAAAATTGAATTAAAAAGACTTCAATCAACTCATGTTAACCAAACAAGACACATAAAAATAGGACGGAGGGGATTATATGATATATTTTGAGATTGAATTATGAAAAAAAAAAATTAAAAGATAATTTACTCCGTACATTTTTAAGAATATTTAATCAATGTAATATAGAAGTTTCTATCATGTGTCATTGTTTCATTATTCTAAAAAAGTTTAAAATTTATCTAGTTAAAAGAAAAAGTATTTATAAAAATCATATAAATATAGAAGATGTGTGATTTATAATATACTTTATATTCAAACTATTTTATCTAGATAATTATGTTTCATATCTTTTTGAATTTTTTTATTGCGTTTTGAAATATTTTAATTTTTTGCTACTAGTCAAAAAAAATTTTTAGCTTCACATATGTTTGTAATTATTGGTTTATAAATTTTTAATAATAATTAATTTATTATTTATTATGATAATAATATTATTTTTTATAAGTTGACTCGATTTTAAATTATTTATTCATTTTTATAAATTATAATAATTATTTATTTATGAAGGCACTTATACGATTATTTATTATTTTGCATTAAGGAAAGTACCTAGAATTTTTTTCATGATTATTATTGTCGTTGTAAAATTGTTAAAAACTTGTTAATTTTATTTAAAGTTATTTTTTATTAATAATTTTTCCTTATTTAATTTAAATTTTAGGCATGGAATATATATTAACTGGGGCCTATTTTTTTGTCTTGCTCCGGGCCTATAAAATGATAGGACCGGCCCTGATTTTTACTTAATAAAATCCTAAACTATTAAATTATTACTAAACAAGCTAAGGTACTCAACAAATGATTGATTTGTGAGCTATTGAGTAAGAACTGAATAGTTGAGGACTTGATTGGTAAAATTGATAATCGATAATTATTTGTGAATTATGACATAATCTGTGAATATTTTAGATATTTACTCTAAAAAAATATAATTTTTTCACTTAAATTACAAATGGTCGGTAATCACAACCAAAAAAAAAATGGTCGGTAATTATATACTATATTATTAATGTAGAAAGAATAAAACAAACTCTCAAACTTACCTGCTCCATCAAAAGACAAAAGTAACTATAAATCAATGATGACCACATTTCCTTAGCTAATTTTATTATTGTTGTATCATGTGATGCCTATTACTTTTGTTTTTATTTATTTATTTCCACCTTCTAATTAAACTAGTTTTGTCCATGCAAAATAAAGTTGGCTGCCACATTATCTTAAACTCACTGTTCATGATGATTATCATAGATGAAGATAGGATAACACGAGTCTCTCAGCTCCTAGCTTTGTTATCCTTGCAATCTTATCCAATATGATCAATATTAGTCATAATGTGTGATTTTAGTTGACTAGTCACGAATACATACAATTAGACCAAAAAAAAATACAAATATATATATATTTTTTGAATGTTACTGGCCCTATTACATTGTAGTATCTGTTCATATACTTTCTCAACCTACTGAAACACAAAGAACCAATAACACCTCCACTGAGGCTCGAACTCGTAACATTCCAAATGGAAGTCCAACCCGGGTACCATTAGACCACATAGTCTTGGTAAATACAAATATATTTAATTAAATAGATATATACTATTATTTAAAAAAGTTACTGGCTTGATACAATTGCACCACCCATTTTGCTATTTACACCCCCTATTTAATAGGTGTAATAACTTTATAGGTGGTGCAAACAAAAAAGTGCTATTTGCACCACCTCATTAAATGTAGTCAAACATTAATTTTTTTTTTATTTAATAATCAATCTCTTTTTATTATTATTATTATTATTATTATTATTATTATTATTATTATTATTATTATTATTATTATTATTATTATGTTTTAATGCCTAATTATTTTGTGCAATATTTTTTTAAGTTTTTATTTTCAATACATATTTTTTTTAAAGTTTCTATTTTCAATACATCTTTTTTTTGTTCAATACATGTTTTTTTGAGTTTATATTTTCAATACTTATTTTTGTTTATGTTTTAATTTTAAATAAAGAGAAATAATAATTAATTTTGTAATTCTAATATTTTTTATAACTCAAATTTGTTGTATGCATTATTTTAAATTGATTTAACTATAAATTGAAATATAAAATGATTACTAGTGATATTTGAAATGAATAAATATAAATTGATTTTCTACCTATCTTTTTATACTGTAAATACTGTAACAATTTTATAAAGATATATGTGGGTTAGAGTTCTAACAATTTTGATGTAGTTAAAATTCTATAAAGATATGTGGGTTAGAGTTCTATTGAGCTTTGAAATATAAATTGATTTTCTACTTATCTTTTTATACAGTAAATACTGTAACAATTTTATAAAGATATGTGGGTTAGAGTTCTAACAATTTTGATGTAGTTAAATTTCTAATCATAAAATAAGTGGAGGTCGAAGGCTTCTAATCATAAAATAAGTCTACTACATGCGTTCCTACACTCTTTCTATTTTGAATTTTGTATTTATGATTGTCCTTCAATCTCTGTAGAATTTTTTTTTTTTTTTAAATATATGGTGCTCCATTAAAAATAGGCCGAAATAATATCAGGTGGGAGTAAATCCGAGTACATAGGAACGGACTGTTGATAAGCCGTAGTAGCTAAAGCATGAGCTAGATAATTGTCTAATCTAGGACTAAAACAAAACGAACAAGACTGAAACAAGGATGCAATACGTCTGCAACTGTCAATGGCATAGCCTAGATACGTACGCAACCCAACGGTTGGTGTAGTAAGATAGCGGTGCAGTGTCAAACAATCTGTGTATATCTCAACATTCTGTTCTCCCCGATCTTTCAACCACGATAGAGCTTCTTTACATGCCAGCGCCTCAGCCATAAGTGGTGAGGAGCAATTCCGGAGTGGTGCGGTGTACGCCGAGACATAACCCCCATCCGTGTCGAGTAGGACTGCCCCAACCGCAGCACGGCTTGTTTCTTGCATAAAACCCCCATCCACTCGACAAATTCTCCTCGGCAGTCCATGTGACGGTTCGGCAGCATAGGCTTCGGTGCCATGCAGTTCGGCATCCTCCTGCAGCAGGGCCGGCTCGGGTAGCAGCTGGGCGGCACGGGTCATGGGCAGTGGATGTGCCCGTGTCCACGCTAGCTTGGCGGCAGCGGCGGCTTTTAGCACAGTCTCCGGGCGCGGTAGCGTCGCCTCCCAAACCGCCCGATTCCTTGCTCTCCATATATTGTAAAGAATTGCTGCTGCATATAACATCCCATCAGAGTCTAGAATTTTTAGAAGTTCACCAAACCAAACATGAAAAACATTTGTGACTATATTGGGGATTGTAAGGTTAGATTTGTCCCAAATGTTTTTTGCAAGATCACACAACACTAAGGCATGCATTGTGTTCTCATGAAATATTCCACACATGGCACATCGTGGGTCCACATCCACCCTCTTCATAAGCAAGTTTGTAGTGGTAGGCAATATATCACTAATAGCTCTCCAGAGAAAAATTCTCCATTTTGGTGGGATTTTGAGTTTCCATAAGGGTAGCCATTTAGTAAATGTCTCATTATTTTGTTGATAGTCCCCAACTACTAGCCTGTATCCACTTTTAACAGAGTACACACCTCTTGGGTCCCCATGCCAGTACCAGGCATCATCATAATCCGGGGAGATGGGTATTCTCATAATATTTGCCACATCATCAGGTTGAAATAAATCTGTTAAGATTGAGGGATCCCAAGTACCCGTGTGTTGATCAATCAACCTTGCCACTCTGGCTTCCTGCAACTGTACTGACATTTCCGTTTGTGTCATAGGGTCATTCTCATCCAGTAACCAGGGGTGGGTCCATATAAGTGTAGTCTCCCCGTTACCAATTATGCGCCTGACCCCACCACAAACTATACTCTTTGCTGCCATGATGCTTCGCCAGCAGAAGCTGGGATTATTTCCCATTTGTGCATCAAAGAAAGTTCCTTTCGGGAAATAACGAGCCTTATACACCCGTGCCACTAGAGATTCAGGTTTAGTCAACATTCGCCATGCCTGTTTTCCCAGCATTGCTAAATTAAACGCACGCAGATCCTTGAACCCCAAACCCCCATACTTCTTAGGGACACACAACTTGTCCCATGCCTTCCAATGTATTCGTCTGTCAGTTCCAGAATCCCACCAATACCGATTCATAGTTCTTTCCACCGCCGTACACACTGATATGGGTAGCAAGAAAACACTCATTGAAAACGTGGGCATAGATTGTACCACAGTTTTCAGTCTCTGTAGAATAGTTTCCTACAATTGTGTATTCTTTGTAGTATATATTGCTCTATGTACTCAATAAATAGATTGTTTACTTATCTTTTTATACTGTAAATACAATAAATTGATTAATTTACAACTATATTCACAACAAATTAAATTAATTCAGTATATAGATAGACTCAGATCACTGGTCACCCAATAAATAAAATCTCAAATTCAGTACTCTTTATACTATAATTTTCTCTCTTGAAATGGAACAAAGAGATTGTTATTTAGTCAATTGAGAAATTATATCTAATTTAAATGAGTCCTAATTACCTATACTAGCAAGCAAGAACAAAGTGGCTTAAAATACAAATAGCAACACCCATAGAAATAAATAACAATTCAATTCTACCTATCTTTTTATACTGTAAATACAATAAATTGCTTAATTTACAATTATATTCACAACAAATTAAATTAATTTACAACTATATTCACTAAATTGATTAATACTATAATTTTCTCTCTTGACATGGAACAAAGAGATTGTTATTTAGTCAATTGAGAAATTATATCTAATTTAAATGAGTACTAATTACCTAGCAAGCAAGAACAAACTGGCTTAAAATACAAATAGCAACACCCATAGAAATAAATAACAATTCAAATAACAACTTAAAATACCTCATAATGTCCTTGACTTTGATTTTGATCATTGTAACTGAGTAACTGGTTTTGATTATGATTATTGTAACTAAAAAATCTTCTATCTAATTATCCATGGCTTATAGATTGTGTGATACACTGATACATATACATAACACACACACCCCACATATATATAGATCGAGTCATATGAGTTCAATTTGTATTCTCTGCTGCCCAAATAATCAGTAATTTCATCTCACAAACATCAATATTGACTAATTATTTAAAAAACTATGTATTGAAATTATAAACTTAAAAATATGTATTGAAATTATAAACTTTAAAAAAAATGTATTGAAATTAGTAACTTAAAAAAAATGTATTGAACAAAAAATATATATATTCAACAAAAAAAAATTATTGAAAATAGAAACTTAAAAAAAATATTTATTGAAAATAAAAACTTAAAAAACATATTGCATAAATAGTTAGGCATTAAAACAAACGAAAAAAAAACAAACAAAAAAAACAAAAAAAAAAAACAAAAAAAAAAAACAAAAAAAAAAAACAAAAAACCAAAAACAAAAGTAAAACAGTGACGGGGTTCATCTTTTTTTTTTTTTTCAATTTAATATTTTAATTAATTAGATTTTGAATTAAAATATTATTAATTACACCTCATAAATGAGGTTTGACCAATGTGGTGCAAATAGCAAAATGAACTCTCATTTGACTATTTACATCACCTATGTAATTATTAAAAGTTTTCACCTTTTTACAATTTCAAGATACTTTATACTCACATTTGATCAAAGGGTGGTGCAAATAGCAACACCTTATAAAGAAAGTACGTATATTATGCTCATATTTCGAAAACACACAAATAAATAAAAGTAATGTATTTTACTATGATACCTTTTCATCGCATTAAAGATAAGTTTGTAATTATCTAACTCTATAATAAAGCAAGAAGTTTTGCCAATCATTGTTTCCCGCCCAATGAAAATGACGCAGTTTTGGTTTATTGATATTTATCCATCTAAGAGGTTATTTGTTTTGCGCGTGTTATGTGATTATGCATTGGTAGTACGCACAGCCGTTTTCAAAAGGCAACTATTCGTATTAACTTAGCATACACTCCTTGGTTCCCAAGGAGTTCAATTAATGTAGAACTCTTTGGTTCCCAAGGAGTTCAATTAATGTAGAACTCTTGGAAGTTTAAACAAAATAAATATTAGAAACGCATCAGGCCTACAATTTCGAAGATACATGCAAGTAAATAACAAGAGAATATTATATATATTACACGGAATATGCAGAGTTGCAATCTGCAAATACACATTCAATGAGATGTGCGAATTCCAAAACATTGGCTGTTGCTCAAAATCAATGGTAAATTTGAATTATGAACCTGTATAAATACCCTGGTTCTTCATGGCAAAAATCCTTCACACATTAAGTTCAGTTTACTTCCTTTTCGAAATAGTATTGGTCTGTCAAGATGCCAAGCATGTTCATTGCTGTCAAGAATATCAAGCCGGAACACCAGCTCAGGGCAATCCGGGTGAGAGCAGTAAGGGTCTATGAAGTGCCTGAGAAAAGGGGAGAAGGGCAGGCCAATAAGAGCATGGAAGTATTGTTCCATGATGAAGAGGTAGTGTTCTTTATTTTCAACAAATCATATTCATGCTATCTACAAATCTAATGGTCTATAAATGTGTATAAATTTTTTTTAGGTTTTTGCCGGGGAGACTACATTCATGATATGCTATCTACTAACCTAATGATCTTTTGCTGTGTAAAATTTTTTGTCTATTTTATTCACAGGGAGACTACATTCATGCCAGTATTATTAAAAGGACATTGGAAAGTATAGAGATATAATCAAAGAAGGGAAAGTATTTGAAATCAAGAACTTCATGGCTTCTACAAACTACTATGTCTACAAGATTACAGAACATGACTTCCTAATCAAATTCAACTATAGAACACAAGTGAAGGAGATACATTCTAATGGCTTTCCTTGCAAAATGTTTCGGCTAAAGAGTTTTTTGGCTTTGAAAGATCCTGCTGATGTGAATGACAAGGAATTGATTGGTACTATCTTTACTTTTTTAACTACTAATATCTTCCTTAATCTATTTTTAGTAGTGTTTTCTAATATTTTGTTAAATTGGCAGATGTGATTGGAAGGTGGTTGAGGAGGAAACAAACAGTGATGCAATCTCTGCTCTAAATTTTTTTTTTTTTTATGATGGTGGCTAAATTGGTTTACTGATTTTGTTAATAATAGGAAGCCTCTATTGAAGTGGAAGTTAATAGTCCTGCCTCTATTCAAGCCTCACAAAATGAAGTAGATGACAATGCTGACAACTCAGGAGATATTAAAAGGTCACTTTTGGATGAGTTTTCATCATCCAAAAGTAGGAAGAAGTTGAAGGAAGCACAAATTAAAAAGGAAAAAATGTAATTGTGACCTTGGTTGAAACTGATTGTTGTGGACCTGCCCTATCCAGACTTAAAGACTGATTTTTTTGTTCTTATTATGGTTTATTTAATCCTGATGATCTCTAAACAATATTTTTAGTTCTAATCCTGTTGATCCCTCATTATTAAAGATTATTTTTGGGATATTTTCTAATTATGGTTTACTGTCTTGATGAGACATTGTTACCATATTGCCTAACTCATTGTTACCATATATTGGTGCCTCTACTGCTACTATTATAACCTGTTTTGCAGATTTTCTAACTTCCATTTCAGGTGATTGGGAAGGATGATCAAGGTTCAAGGTTTTAAAATGCAGAAACAAGGGACAAAATTTGGCAAGGAACTTATACTTTGTAGATGTAGTTTTGTATAGGTTCCATTAGATATTAAACTTCTCCTATAAAACTGTGTAAAGATACTAAGAACATTGAATGGCAAGTATAACCTCTTAGAACTAAATAACTTGTGCCTAAAATATAAAGATAGGTTTACTCACCTATTTGCAAGTTCTTCTTTTACTGTGTTTGCAACTCTCAAATCCAATTTTGGTCCATGCTGGTGTCCACCAAAAACTGCTAGCACATATGAAAATGAATTAATACACATCACTTAAGTGAAATCTTTGTAATACAAAATAAAGTTAACTAAAATTAACAATAAAATTGTTCAACTTCAGAATCTAAGTACTAATCTTAGGTTAAGCTTTCAAAGAATCCATATTGAGAAACAAACTACTAATCATAGGGTAGTGCCTGATTCTTAATCTACCAAATCTATTGGTTCCAATAAAGCACAGTAGCATAGAAACACTCAATCTGTTAGAATATCCTTAAATTAGAAGAAATACTTTGATACTACACCTAACTTTAATCTGCTGTGATATAGAATAAAAAAAAGCAATTTTTTAAAAAAATCTAAGTCAAAAAAATTTGGAAAACATCCTTAACTTTTGAAATATTTTTAAATGTGGTGCAATTTAAATAATACAGTAAGTACTGCTCTTAGGTTAAGCTTCAGGAATTATTTATGTATCTAAATAGTTTTATTACTCTACCAAAGCTCTTAATTGTTCTATAGAATGACTTATATATATACACTAGAAGACTGATAGCTGAAACAAAGAATTCCAAAAAGTATTGGATTAATGGTATATTCATCCAACAATCAAAGAAAGGGCCAATTTGAAGTATATGAACTGGGTCTAAAATTGAGGACAATTTGTTAACAGAATTCTGTTTAATTAAAAGTTTCTATTGCCTTGCAAACTAAAATGAACAAACTTACAAACTATGCAATTATATGCATAATCTAAAGAACAGGAAAAAAAATATAAAATCTTAACCTATTTGCTTAGATCCCCATGCTGCTTTTAGTTTCTTTGATTGATGTCTTATTTTCTGCTTGATTCTCTACAATTCCACCAGAGCTTGGGTTATTCCATCCTCAACAAAATAAGACAAAGAAAAAAAAAACAGGTTAGAAATTGTATCACTGTATTAAAGAACAACACCAAAAGGAAAGGATACACTGGCACAAAAAACATTTTTAGAGATATTTATAAAGGGAAGGATACAATAAAATTTAATGTTAACTTATCCTTAATTGTTCTATATAATGACTTATATACAACAATTAAATACACTAACTAATGCAAATTGGATACTTTAAGTTACTAGAAGACTGATAGCTGAAACAAAGAATTCCAAAAAGTTTTGGATTAATGGTATATTCATCCAACAATCAAATAAAGGTCCGAGTTGATGTATATGAACTGGGTCTAAAATTGAGAACAATTTGTTAAAAACTAATCTAAAGTCAGGAAAATAAATGTAAAATGTTAACCTATTTGCTTAGATCACCATGCTGCTTTTAGTTTCTTTGATTGATGTCTTATTTTCTGATTCATTGTCTTCAATGTATCCAGAGCTTTGGTTATTCCATCCTCAACAAAATAAGAAAAATAATAAAAACAGGTTAGAAATTGTGTGTCCAATATTAAAGAACAACACCAAAAGGAAAGGATACACTGGCACAAAAAAGATTTTTAGACAATTAGAAGCAAAGAAGCAATGTGTTCAATATTCTACAAACTTATATACAGAAATTGAATAAAATGGAATTATTGGGCTGTGAAGTAAAAACTAATCATTCTTAGGGAAAGTAAAACATTCTTTAGATATTAAATATAATTGATGGCCAGCTATCATTACTATTAAGAGAAAACCCTTCAGTTCCACTTCGAATCGCAAAATCATTGAAAAAATATAAATTTGCTACAATGAACCAATCTACTGATAGCTGCCCCATCTAACTACAAAAATAGTTTTCCAGTTTGAGACCTCAGCCAGAGAGACAATTGACATTAGCAGTTGCAAGTACACACAATAGACAGTGCAATGAAGAAGATTACTAAGTCAACAATTATAGGCATCAAAAGGAAACCAAGTGAGCAAAATAAAGGTAAGTTCAAAACTTATCTTTTTTCATACTTTAAATGAAGCTTCATTTTTGCATCCCTATTGCTTTCCGATTCTGTTTATGCTCTCCATCTCCTCCAATAACTCCAGTATGTCCATAAAAAAAAAATAGATTAGAGATTACAGTATGAAAAATAGATTAGAGATTACTCCTCAAAAAGTAGATTATAGGTGAGTGTTTGTGTGAATAATAATATATTTATAGCATTTAGCACATGAAAAAAACACACTTAACCGTAACTTCTCAATCTGGTGTTTTTAGAGCAGCATTAAAAATAACACGATTTAGAATCCTAATTGCGGTGAATCATACAAATCTGAAATTAAGAGATTTTATCTATGAGAATCGATCTGCATGCTTAACTATTCTTACTAAGGAGAAGAGATTACAGTATGAAAAATTGATCAATTTCGAATTGGACAACAGTCATGCATAAGAAACCCTAAACGAATTGACTGAAAGATGGAAGCATACTAATTAGAATGCTGTAATTTTTTTTTATTTGAAGAAATAAAGAGTATTTTTTTTCATTACAAACAACAAAGTCTATTTTAAGCCTAATACAAGAAATATTGTAGTACAACTAATCATGCATTGAGAATTATACCAGTTACATACTGTCAGTACAACTTAAACAGTCAAAATTAATGTATATACTCAACAGATTTGTGTAAAAATTCATACACATAGATAACTATTGCATAGCTAAAACAAAAAAAAAAAAAATTATCAATGCATTGAGAGTTCTACAAGTTACATACTGTCCTAGGTCTTAAAAGAAAATGAATAATGAGCAGATTAGGAAAACTTACTTTCGTAACTGAGGATGGATTGCATAAACTTAACACTGTAGAGCATAACCTGTAAATATAATTAAGATATCATATTAAGTAACACAATTACTTTTTACTATAAAATTAAAGTAGAATCTTTAATCCAATAAAAACAAGAGAGCTTAATATAAGTCCAAGGGACAAGAGAGCTTAATATAAGTCATACTTAATTTAAAGTTTAAGTATGAAAAAAAGCATAATGTTAAAAATAAGTATTACTTAATTTAAAGTTTAAGAACACTTACTTGACATTTCAAGTGCCAAGCCATTTGAACCTCCTTCAAATAAGCCATTTGGTCCCTGGAAATATACTGTTACAAAATAGTAGTCGGACATTAATAAGCCATAGCAATTATTAGTTTTCAATAGTACTTAATGACTATTTTTCAATAGATCTTTTTTTTGTTTGTTTGTTTGTTTGTATCAGTACACAACATGTATATGAAATCTAGGTTGAAATTAAACAAATCAATGTAGAAGATACTTAGCTTTCTTCATGCTCGAATGTATGAAGCTACTCATTCTGCAAAAAAAAATTTAAAAAAAATCCACCATCAACAACAATCAACACATTTAATCCCCACCCAAGTACTGGAAAAGTTAAATAGATTAGCCTAACAACGCATGCATTGAAAAATTTAAAGAAAAAAAAAAATCCTAGACAGACAATTAAGTGAACCTAATGCACAAATCGGGTAAAATCTTCATAGATTATGTCTTCTTAGACTTTAAATTGAAGAAATTCATAAACATAATCTACAAATGCTTGGCTAAATTAAACGAATTAGATAGATTTCATAGAAGGATTATACTTACAACGATGATGGTAGCAGCCTTCGTCTTCACTGTTAGCTTAGATTTATGGTAGTATGATTGCCAAATTTGTGATGCTTGAACAATGATTGCATCACAAATCTGAAAAATCAAGTAATATAGAGACATAGAGGTAATAGATAGATAGATGCAGAGAGAGAGAGCGATGGTAAGGAAGAGAAATGTGTGGGTGAGATATTCCGGGTAAGAAATGAACACAAAGCTTCCTGACCCTTCATTTTTGTTTTATATATATATATATATATATATATATATATATATATTGAAATGATATGTGTGCACGTGTAACCTGCATAATAAATTTGACATTTGAGGTGTAATGCATATATTATTTATATATATAATCTATATTATATATTACACACACACACCCACACCCACACACACACACACACACACACACACACACACACACATATATATATATATATATATATATATATATATATATATATATATATATATATATATATATATATATATATATATTTGTATATAGAAATATATAAAAAAGTTATAGAGATTAATTAATAGATAGTGTTTATATTAGAGATTTTTATATAATATATAGTTTGTACTATTTCAATTTTTTAAAAATTTTATTTAATTGTGTCTGTAGAAAATGAACCCGTATTTGTTTATGGACAGTTATATGATGCTGTATTCAGATTAAGTAACTCAGACGGTCTTAAGATATTAATTTGTGGCGAAACATAAAATAATTGTACTTACTGATGTAGTTTATAAAGAGGTTTTTTATAATTTGTAATTTAATTTTTTCTGCCAATAATATTTTTCCTTTTTTGCACAATAACACTTTATTTTTATTAAAATTGTATTTACCCCGTGCATCGCACAAGACAATATCTAGAAAAATACTAATTATGCTCCATATGAGAAAGCAAAATACTAAGTACATACCACCAAAGTTAAAAAATAGGAAAAAAAATGTGATTCAAAAGGCATAGTAAAATAATGATTTAAGGAACAGAATCATTTAAACCCTTTTGTTAAATAGAAAGTCTACATTGTACGTAGCTGTTTCAAGTGTTAGTAATCCAATAAGTTTAAAATTTTTGATTTGTGGCGAACATGTACCATGTCTAAGTACGGCTAAAAAATGTTATGTCCAAAAGAAGTTTTCAACAATGTGTAATAAAATTTCATAGTTGATCATTTCAAATTTATTAGTTTTAAAATTGTATATTTTTTCATCTTATTATATTATACGAAATATTATATATATATATATATATATATATATATATATATATATATATATATATATATATATATATATAGCTGTGCATCACACGGGTGCAACTACTAGCTCTATAATAAAGCAACAACTTCTTGCAAATCAATTTACCCCCAAATAAAAAGCTACCGTTAAGAGCCATAAGACAATTACAATTGTATTAAATGCTATTCACACACTTGGTTGCAAATTCTGAGGAGGCTTAGCCGAAATAACTCTTGGTTTTAAGAATAACTTTTGACAATTTGTTAAATTAAACTTAATATATTAACAATAACGAAGAGGTAATAATCTTGAATGGTTTAATGGATGTTCTATGATTTATTGTTGTGGAGTAAAATAGTATTTACATTATAATCATATTTTATATTAAAATATTAAAAGTACTTTTAATACAAAGTCTTAATTTATGAAAAAATAAATTGTTTTAGTAAAGAAATAAAATTTGGTGTAATGGGTTGGAGATAGAAAAAAAAATGATATAAGAATATACAAGGAATATTCCTTGTGGTGTAAAATTTGGTGCAGATGCTTAGAGATGGCAATCGTTATTGTGTGGACTATAGTCCACAGAAGCTATGTGGATCATATTTTGTATGTTATAAAATAATGTATATTTAGTACAAAAATAATGTACTTTTAGAATATTAAAAATGTACTTTGTATTCAGAGAAATTACATTATTTGAATACTACAAATATATTATTTTTATAATGTACATTCGGTACAAAAATAATGTACGTTTTAATATATTAAAAATGTACTTTCTTTTATGGTCCATACAACACTATGTCAACCATGGTTCACACAATAATTTGCTTAGAGATAGTTTTAGGGTTAGGAGAAAACATTTTATTAATTGTTTTATTGGGTTCGGGTTATGTGCTACATTATTGGATTAGTTTTGGGTCAGATTATTTAGAAGAAAAAAATGAAAGAAATAAAGTTTGACCCAAGAATTTATTATATTTAGTATATTTGTTTAGTAAAAATTATAAAATAACATTGGTGTAATGGATTGGAGATGTAAATAATTTGATGTAAAAATATACTGAAGCGGTTTGGCGTCTATTTGGTTTTGATATACAGCTTAGGGCGCCTTCAGTGGAAAGGTTAAGCTTTCACCTTTCTAATCAACAGAGTGTGATATTTGCAAATGATGATGCTGTTGAGAACATTGCTAATAGACCTACTATAGCACAGAGCATGTTTTTGGAATGGTTTGAGGCAAATAAAACATACCCTAATGCAAGAGAACTTACTTATGTTTAGATGCCAACACGATTCGTTTGGAAGAAAGACCTTAGAAAATGGTAGCCACGGAAAAAAGGGTTCTCAATCGGACGTATATTCTATGTCCCGCCAGCTACTGGAGAACTTTTCTATTTGAGGTGTTTGCTGAATAAAATCCGTGACCATGTGTTGGAAGGCCAGATCATGTGCGGTACAAATGCAGGAACCAGAGTATTGATTCCTAGGATGTCACTTACACCGTCAGATCCAAGATTGCCTTTCAAATTTCAACGAAAGCAATTTCCTTTGATGTTATCCTATGCCATGACAATCAACAAAAGTCAAGGACAAACGCTTGCTAAAGTGGGATTGTTGTTGAAAAAACCTGTCTTTAACCATGGACAACTGTACGTAGCTGTTTCAAGAGTTAGTAACCCCAGGGGTTTGAAAATTTTGATTTGCGGGGAAAGTGTACCATGTCTTAGTACGACTAAAAATGTTGTGTACAAAGAAGTCTTCAATAATGTATAATAACATTCCAGAATTTATTATTTAAAATTTAGTATTTTTTTTAAATACTAGGTTTCTTATTATTATTATTATATTATACGTAATATTCTATGTACTATATAGGTAGCCATGCATCACATTGTTTCAACAATGAAGTCTTCAACAATGTCTAATAAAATTACTATATTCATCAATGTGTAACAAAATCACAAGTTTTTCATTTCACATTTTGTGAGGTTCAAATAACTATATTCTATACTGTATATATATCATACTATATATATAGCCGCGCATCGCGCGGGTGCACCTACTAGTTCTTATTAATTAGAGGACACAGAGAGAGTTTGCAACTTTACATTTGGAAAGCGATTGATGGCATGCTTTACCACACATCACTTTTTTAATATTGTGATAGCCAAAAGACATTTTAACCTAATCTCCAATTGCTATAATTAATTAGATTTGTTGTTATTAGAGCATAAAAAATAGTAATTTTATAAATTTATAATGATTATATATATATATATATATATATATATATATATATATATATATATATATATAAAATATCGTATATATATATAAAATATCGTTGCATTCATTATATCAAATAAAAAGGTGGTGATAATATTTTTTTTAAGGAAAAAATGGATAACGTAACTTTATCTTTCAATTGCCAAAATATAAATCGCATTGTAAAACATACAATTTTTAATGTCGTGAGTTACAATATAATATGCTTTGTAAAATTGTACTTTCTTTTTATATACTTATAGTAAAAAATAATATACAAATTTATAGAATACAATAATATTGTAATTCACGATATTATAAAATTTATATAATAGTTTGTTTGGTTGACAGGAAAATATTTTTTTTGAGATTTTTTTTAAAATTTGAGTTAAATCGTATTTTACCTTATTTGGTTAATGGAAGAATTTATTCCATAAAAAATAAATAAATTTATTGCTCTCTTTTAATATTTTATTTTCCACACTTTTAAGAGAATATATATATAAATTCTTATATTACCATCCACCAAAGAATAGAATAAATATTTCAAATAATTTATTTTTCTTAGAATTTAAATTCATTTTTTTTTTTTTACAAACTAAACGAGCTGTAAGAATTTTTTCACTTTTAGTCATCGACTATCATTTTTTTAAAATAATATATTTGAATTTGAGTTAGTACCTAAAATGATCAATCGACTATAGCGAAATTCACAAATTAGTCATCGACTATCAAGTTTAGCAAATTAAGTCTTCAACTATTCAATCCTTACTCAATAAGGTCTTCAACTATTCAGTTCTTACTCAATAAAGTCCTCAACTATTCAATTCTTACTCAATAAGGTCCCCAACAAAAGATTGATTTGTGAATTATTGAGTAAGAATTGAATAGTTGAGGACTTAATTGGTAAAATTGGTAGTCGATGACTAATTTGTGAATTATGGCATAGTCGATGGACCATTTTGGGTATTACTCTTATTCAAAAAATGGCGGGCCTACTATATTGTATTTATTTTTCTCCAATAAAAAAATAAAAATATATAATTAAGCCAATCATATTAACTACTTGAGGGATTTATCGACAAAAAGAGTATTCAGATCACACAACAAATTGAAGTGGAAAACTATCTCGCAATGTCCTTATTTGGCAATCAGCAGCTCTTCAATATTAGTATATATTTAATATTTTATGCACTAATTTTTATTTGCTCTCCCTTATGTCACGTATTTGGTTTCAACTATACCTATACAATTATTTTATTGACAATTATAATCAATCTTGATTATATTATATTGCATTTGTAAATTTAGAATTGCCTATTTAAAATACACAAATTTAACATTCAATTATCTATGAATAAACAATTCCAATATAATCTTGCCTTAATATACTTTAAAATACTTCCATTGGACATTATCCTAATCGCGCAATTCGCGTAAAAAACTAGTAAATAAATAAAGGGAAAATGACACTTTTTTTCCCTGAGTTATATACTTATAGCACTTTTTCCCTCTCAATTATTTATGTAAGCACATTAGCCCCCTCAATTATTCTAAAAGTGGTGGTTTTTCCCCATAATATATTAAATTGACATTTCTACCCTTAAAGTAAACATTTTATTTATTTTACTTCTCCAATAAATTATTGCGTATACGTAGGGATCACCACGGTTCGGTTCGAACTGAACCAGACACTATAGCAATCGAATTAAAAGTTTCCGATTATGATTCAGATCGAGAACCCAATATTTGGATTTCAATTTATTAAAATTATGAATCAAAAAAATTTGATCCTAAACCGTGAATCGGCGGTTCCGGATCCGGTTCGCGATTTTGAACCGTCTTTATTTTAAAATTTTATTTTTTATTTTAAAATAGTCTAACTTCAACAATAAATATATTTTATTTTTTTCAGTTCGGAACATGAACCGTCCGTTCCAGTTCGCGATTTTGATAAACTCTAAATATCGAGTTTCGATTCTAAATTGTAATTGAAATATTTCGGTTTGGTTGCTATAGTGTTTGTTTGGTTTGAACCAAATTATGATCATAATTTGTTGGAGATGAAAAATAAATAAAATATTTATTTTAAGGGTAAATATGTCCATTTAACATTTTAAGGGGGAAAACATCCACTTAAATAATTAAGGGGGGAAAAGTGCTATAAATATATAACTCAGGGGGAAAAAGTGTCATTCTCCCATAAATAAATGGAAAATCATTGGGGATGCCTTAATCAAGGAAAATCAAATGAAAAGGGTGTTGGGTTAGTGGGATCCTTTTTTATTGGAAATGGTAATGTGGAAAGCCGTGTGGGAAATCTGGGGTTGGTGTGAAGAATGGAAAACACATTTCCCATTCAATAAATTGCGTGCGGAGCGTAATGAAAGCCAAGTGCATGTACATGTCCGTCTCTCCATTACTTCCGTAGGATAGATATCTTTATTCCGTTATCCCCTGAAGATCTTTTCTGATTTGGCTTGTTTTCAAACTGTGGCGTCTCTGTTTCAGCGCATTTAGTTGTAAAGGTGCCATCTTTCCCCTTTTTTCTCTGTTAATGATTGGTACTTTGATTTTGAGGCAAAGTAGTTGATAGTTTGTTACACAGATCTTTTGGTGATGTTTAGCTCCATTTAAGCTGATCAGAGGTCCCAACTTTACCTTTCCAGATTGGTTTGTTCACTTTACTGTGATGAAGAACTGTTGGGGTTTTGTCATTGTTGTTCTTGGGGAGATTGGGTTCTGGGTTTGATCCTGTGGATAATTACTTGTTGAACTGTGGGTCGTCTGGTGATGTTAAAGTGGGTGGTAGGGTTTTTGTTGGTGATAAATCAGCCGCAAAATTTCTTTCAACCCCAAAAGATATATTGGCTAATGATTTGTCAAGTTCAGTTCCAGTTCCTGATGTTTCTGAGCTTTATCAGACGGCTAGAATCTTTACTGGAACATCAAGCTTCGAGTTTTCAATCAGCCAGGGTGGCAGGCACTGGATCCGCATGTATTTTTACCCCTTTGTTTATGCTAGCTTCAACATGAGTTCTGCTAACTTCTCTGTTTCCACCCAGAATAATGTTCTGCTTAGCGATTTTAGTCCTAGGAATGTGTCGTTTAAGGAATTCTCTGTGAATGTAACATCGAGGGACCTCGTGTTGACATTTGCACCTTGCAGCAATTCGTTCGCGTATGTGAATGCGATTGAGGTTGCCTCGGTTCCTGATGAGCTTATACCTGAGGATGCCACAACCATCAATCCAGTTGGGGCGTTCCGTGGCCTGGGGTAAACATGGGTGGATCGCCTTTGGGACCGAGTAATGACACACTGGGGCGAAATTGGGTTAATGACCAGAGATTCTTGTTAAGGCCACAGCTTGCCACGAGCCTGTCCAAGATCCCGTCTGTGATTTATCATAAACAAGGAGCCACTAGAGATTCCGCCCCACCAACGGTGTATGGTACCTGCAGTAAAATGAAGGTGGATGCTGGTCAATTTCAACGTCACTTGGGAGTTTAGCGTGGATCCAGGGTTCAAGTATCTTCTCCGGTTTCACTTCTGTGACATAGTGAGTCCATCTCCTAATCAGCTGTTGTTTAATATTTATATAGATTCGTCAAATATTGCTCCAGGAGCTGCTGTTGGGAACGTTTTGTCAACTGCATATTTCCTCGATTATGTTGTGTCAACTGATACAAACAAGCTTCGATTAAGTGTTGGCCCATCTCGTAGGAGCGCTTTCGCTGATGCCTTTATAAATGGATTGGAAATCATGAAGATGAACAACTCGAAGGGCAGCCTCAGCAGTGCGGATTTTGTGCCTTCTTCTTCCAGCTCGGGCTTGAAGAAGATTGGAGTAATAGTGGGAGTTTGCGTAGGGGTACCGGTTGCTTTAGCTGTAATTATTGTTCTATTTTGTATGCACCGAAGGAGAAAACAAGAACTACTTGGGCAGTCGAAAACATAGATACCGTTATCTCTGAATGGAAATTCCCACACGATGGGAAGCAAATACTCGAATGGAACTACCATAAGTGCTGCTTCGAACCTTAGCTACCGAATTCCCTTTGCAGCGGTTCAAGAAGCAACGAACAGCTTCGATGAAAGTTGGGTTATTGGGGTAGGCGGTTTCGGGAAGGTGTACAAGGGCGAACTAAGCGATGGAACTAAGGTAGCTGTGAAGAGGTGGAATCCCAAGTCCCAACAAGGCCTTGCAGAGTTTAGAACCGAAATCGAGATGCTATCCCAGTTCCGCCACCGCCATTTGGTGTCCTTAATCGGGTACTGTGATGAAAGAAACGAGATGATTCTGGTTTATGAGTACATGGAGAATGGCACCCTCAAGAGTCACTTGTATGGCTCTGATCTTCCTAGTTTGAGCTGGAAACAGCGGCTCGAGATATGCATTGGGGCAGCCCGAGGGTTACACTACCTGCATACCGGGTATGCCAAGGTAGTTATACATCGTGATGTCAAGTCTGCCAACATATTACTCGACGAGAATTTCATGGCCAAAGTTGCTGACTTTGGGCTGTCTAAGACTGGCCCCGAGATCGACCAAACTCATGTCAGCACTGTCAAGACATGCAAGTCAAGATCATGTCCCTGAAGAAGCATAGAAGCAGTTAAGAAAGCAGTTAGCTTACATCATCTTTTTGTAACAGCTTTAGTCTTCCTTTATGCTTCCTAAGCCTGTGTATAAATAAGGCAGTTAGATCAATATAACAGTACAACTTCTTTCTTCATTCAATCAAACAGTTTCTTTCCCCTCAGTTCTTCTTCTTCTTCTTCTTTTCTTTCTTCTCTGGTTGTTCTGCTTGCAGCTTTCCAATATGGTATCAGAGCTTTGAAGCTATGGCTTGGAGAACACCTGCAGCAAACATGGTTCAACCATCAATTCCAACTGTTCCTTTACCCCAAAACACTGGTGTTGGTACAAATCAGACCAATACGAATCCTATACCCAATATCATTCCTTATGAACCAAGGGATCGATCTCCCCTACATCTGCATTCAAATGAGAGCCCCTCGTTACAACTTGTAACTGCTCAATTGGAGGGAAGGATGAATTATCATGCCTGGGCAAGGGCTATGGAAATGGCCCTAAGATCGAAGAACAAAATGGCTCTCATCGATGGCACAATGCAGATTCCCAGCAAGCGAGATCCTAAGTACTTCTACTGGGATCAGTGTAACACGATGGTGTTGTCCTGGATCCTCAGAGCAGTTTCCCCCACCATAGGTCGAAGCGTGCTATGGATCAACACGGCGGAAGGGATCTGGAATGACCTGAAGAAACGTTTCAGCCAGCAGGATGTATTCCGGATTGGAGAAATTCAGGCTGAGATTTATCAGACAAGGCAAGGTACTTCCTCTGTAAATGAATATTTTACCCAGTTAAAACTGTTGTGGGATGAGTTGTTCATTCTGAGACCTGTTCCCTCATGTGGTTGCCTTCCGAGTTGTGAATGTGGCTTGAAGTTGTCTGAGAAGATTAGAACTCAGCTGGAAAATGACATGTTGTCTACCTTTCTTACTGGTTTAAATGAAAATTTTACCAATACAAAACTACAGATTATGTTGATGAAACCCCTACCTGATGTGGGAGAAGCTTTTGCCATGGTTTCACAGCAAGAAAGGCAAATAGACATTGGATCTAACAGTTTGGGAGACAGTTTAGGAGGTGCAAATGCCTTCTTTACAAAGGTTGATGGCAAGAAATCTTTCCATAACCAGAAACAGAAGCCTGTGTGTAGTTTTTGTGGCTATACTGGACACACCATCGACAAATGCTATAAAAAGCATGGCTATCCTCCAGGTTGGAAATCAAGAAGCAAAGGTATGGGATCAGCCAATCAGATTCAGATTTCTGAGCAAGAAACTGGCACTGTGGAATCAGGTTTTCCTTTCAGTCAAGAAGATTTTAGAAGGTTTTTGGAGTTCATACAGCAAGAGAAGCCCAACAACAAACATATTGAGGCTGTTACACCTCATGTTAATGCTATAGAGGCAAATTTCATCCCAGATGCTACATTGGAAGGTAAAATCCCTGATTCTGATTTTAATTTGGCAAATTCAGGATCCTCATAGATTCTTGACAGTGGAGCCACACATCACATTGTTTGCAATGTGCACCTATTACAAACACCCAAGAAAGTGCAGGGAATATTTGTTGACTTACCTAATGGACATCATACTCAAGTATCTCACATTGGAAATGTCAAGCTATCTGTTGATCTTATCTTGCAGAATGTGTTGTGTGTACCTATATTCCACTATAATTTGATTTCCTTGGGAGAGTTGATAAAAGGATCAAACTGCAGCATCTTATTTCACTCTAACCAATGTGTTGTACAGGATCAACACCATGGGAGGATGATTGGTATGGCTGAGCTAAGGAAAGGGCTTTATCAACTTACTTTTCCTGTCAGTAATTGTTGTAAGCCAAGTGTGAATGTGTGTATCCCTTGACATGCTAGGTTAGGTCATACATCTGAAGGAAAATTAAGGTTTCTACATACTCTAAACAATGAAATCTGTAATGATACTCCTGCTGTATGTGACTATTGTCACTTTGCTAAACAAAGAAGGTTGCCTTTTCAATCCAGTGTCTCTATTTCAAATACTTGCTTTGATCTTGTCCATGCTGACATTTGGGGGCCATACCATGTTCCCACCATCTATGGTCACCAGTACTTTCTAACTATAGTAGATGATTACAGTAGAGCAACTTGGATCTACCTTATGAGAAAGAAGAGTGAAGCCAAGCAGCTAGTTCAGTCCTTCTGTGAATTGGTCAACACACAGTTTGGAAAATGTGTTAAAACTCTAAGAACTGATAATGGAAAAGAGTTCATCATGGAAGAGTTTTTCCACAGTAAGGGCATACTTCATCAAAGGTCTTGTGTGTATACCCCTCAACAAAACAGTGTGGTTGAAAGGAAACATGGACACATTTTGTCTATGGCAAGAGCTTTGAGATTCCAGGCAAATCTTTCTGAGCAGTTTTGGGGAGATTGTGTTCTCCATGCAGTTTACCTAATAAATAGGCTTCCATCTGCAGCCCTAAACAACAAGATTCCTTATCAAGTGTTGTTTAACAAGATGCCACAATATCAACACCTTAGAGTGTTTGGATGCCTAACCTTTGCAGCCATTCCTAGTTGTAAGAGAAATAAATTGTCACCAAGAGCCAGGAAGTGCATATTTTTGGGCTTTACTAATGGCATAAAGGGGTACAAGTTGTTTGATATACAGACAAATGAGGTGTTTGTGTCCAGGGATGTGTCCTTCTATGAAAATATTTTTCCTTTTCAAAATCCACAACATCATCAACCTGCCAGTTTAGTTCTACCAGCAGAGATGGAATCAGACTCTAACACTGATGAGCAGCCCTTGGGATCAACTTCTAATACAGATGAGCAGCCTCTCATACCCCCTACTGAGTCTGATCTACCTATAGTCCCACCAGTGGCACAAACAAGAGCTGATGACACTACCAATACAGGAATAGATATTATTCCCCAACCAAGGAGATCTAGCAGAACTAGAACAACACCTTCCTATCTTCATGATTATGCCTGCCAAAGTGTTGCTGCAAAAAGAACATCTCCTCATGACATTTGTAAGTTCATATCCTATGAGAACTTGTCACAAAACTATAAAGTTTTTGCAGTCAATGTCTTAGATGCTAAGGAACCAAAGACATATAATGAGGCCATCAAAAGAGATTGTTGGAAGGAAGCTATGGAAGCTGAAATTAAAACCCTACAAGACAACAACACCTGGGAGATTACAGACCTTCCTCCTGGAAAGGAACCAATAGGGTGCAGATGGGTTTACAAAACCAAGCTCAAGGCTGATGGAAGCATTGAAAGACACAAGGCCAGGCTTGTTGCAAAAGGATATACCCAAACACCAGGACTGGATTACTTAGATACCTTCAGTCCTGTTGCCAAAATCACCACTGTAAGGATGTTGTTAGCTGTGGCTGCTGTCAAAGGTTGGAATCTTCACCAGTTAGATGTTAATAATGCTTTCCTACATGGGAACCTAAATGAGGAAGTGTATATGAAACTTCCACCTGGTTTCACTACTTCCAAGCCAGGAAAGGTGTGCAGATTGGTGAAGTCCTTGTATGGCTTGAAACAAGCTAGTATGCAGTGGAATGTCAAACTAACACAAGAGTTGTGCAACATGGGCTTCAAGCAAGCTGTCTCTGACTCCTCCTTGTTTACCAGAGGTACAGCTGATGATTTCATAGCCTTACTAGTTTATGTGGATGATGTTATTCTTGCAAGTCCAAATCTAAGTCAGGTTCAACAAATAAAAGAGCATCTGGACAGAGTGTTTCACATCAAGGATTTGGGAACTTTGAAGTTTTTTTTTAGGATTGGAATTGCAAGAAACAATAAAGGCATTTCTATGACACAAAGGAAATACTGCCTAGAATTGCTTGAAGAAGCAGATTTCTTACAATGCAAACCAGCTAAAACTCCAATGGTTACATCCATTAAGTTCAGCAAAACTGTTGGCAACAAGCTTGAAGATGCCACTCAGTACAGAAGGCTTGTAGGAAAACTTCCCTACCTAACTATTACAAGACCTGATATCAGCTATGCTACTCAACAGTTATCTCAATTTCTAGATTGTCCTACTGACATACACTTGCAGGCAGCTCACAGGATCTTGAGATATCTTAAAGCAGATCCAGGCCAAGGTCTCTTCTTCTCTGCTGCAGCCTCATTAAAAATCAAGGGCTTCACTGATTCTGACTGGGCTGCATGTCCAGATACAAGGAGGTCAGTCACAGGGTTTTGCATGTTCTTGGATAACATCTTGGTGTCCTGGAAATCTAAGAAGCAAGTCACCATATCTAGAAGCTCTTCAGAAGCAGAATACAGGGCCTTAGCCACAGCAGCTTGTGAAATTCAATGGCTAGTTTATTTGCTGCAAGAATTAGGCATAAGCAGCAGTACTTCTGCTATCTTATATTGTGACAACAAATCTGCTATAGCTATAGCAGAAAATCCCGTGTTTCATGAAAGGACAAAGCATATTGAAATCGATTGTCACTTAGTAAGGGAAAAATTGCAAAAGGGAGTCTTAAAGCTGCTACATGTCACTACCTCAAATCAATTGGCTGATGTCTTCACCAAGCCTCATACTCCTATCAACTTTTGTAGTTTCAAGTCCAAGCTTGGTCTCTACAGCATGTACAGTCCAGCTTGCAGGGGGGGGGGGGGGGGAGGGGTGTCAACACATGCAAGTCAAGATCATGTCCCTGAAGAAGCATAGAAGCAGTTAAGAAAGCAGTTAGCTTACATCATCTTTTTGTAATAGCTTTAGTCTTCCTTTATGCTTCCTAAGCCTGTGTATAAATAAGGCAGTTAGATCAATATAACAGTACAACTTCTTTCTTCATTCAATCAAACAGTTTCTTTCCCCTCACTTCTTCTTCTTCTTCTTTTCTTTCTTCTCTGGTTGTTCTGCTTGCAGCTTTCCAATAAGCACAGCGGTGAAAGGTAGCTTTGGGTACCTCGATCCCGAATACTTCAGACGCCAGCAACTAAGGGAGAAATCAGATGTCTACTCATTTGGCGTGGTTATGTTCGAGGTTTTCTGCGCTAGGCCTGTGATAGATCCATCTCTGCCAAGGGAGATGGTGAACCTAGCCGAATGGGCGATGAAATGGCAAAAGAAGGGGCAGCTGGAACAAATCATCGACCCCAAACTCCTGGGGAGAATAAGGCCCGATTCCCTCAGAAAGTTTGGAGAAACAGGCGAGAAATGCTTAGCTGATTTTGGCGTGGACAGGCCCTCGATGGGAGATGTGCTGTGGAACCTCGAGTACGCCCTCCAACTGCAAGAGGCTGTCATTCAAAATGATCCCGATGAGAACAGCACCAACCTCATTGGCGACCTCTCCCCGCAAGTCAACAACTTCAGCCACATTGAAGCCTCTCCCGCCCAGGGCGAAGCCACGAACTTGGACGACCTTTCAATCTTGGATCAGAAGGTGTTAAGGACATTCTTGGAATTAAGACCTTTGTACCGGCACTTGCACCACATAGTATTTGAGCTTCTAAAACATGATCTGCCAACTTTGAAATTATCATTCTTGTACCATTGCATAACCCCAATGAGTGATCAATATTCCTTAGAAGCATAACTGGAGACCCAACTTTTAGAGTCAATGAGTGATTTGGAACTCCTGAACACCTTAATCCATTTAAAAATTCTGGAGTGTGCAAATCAGCAAGCATGTCAACATTTGAATCCGATTTACAGACCGAGTCACAACTGAGATACGTCCTTCCTTCAGCATTATTATAGTCATTCATGTATTCATTTACTGCATCCACAATATCCAATGTTGGTGCCAAAATAGCACAATCCTTTAGGTATTGAATATCACTCTGATCTCTGCGAAACATAGGGAATATGCTATCAACAATTGTAGAAATTGGATCCTCAACACAAGTTAGCACAAATTCTTCAGGAATATTTATCTCACATTCTCCATGCAAAGACTCACCAATTGTTCCATCACCTATATTAGCAATCCACTTTGCAAATTTTTCAATCTGTTGAACTTCAGTTTCTGATTGCAATGACCTTAGCCTGAGATTCTTTGTTAGCCTAAATACTTAACAGCTTCTCCAAAGATATGATGCATTGATACTTGCTCCAACAATATCTTGCCTGGTGCCCTTTGGAATGACTGGTAGAATCTGTCTGAAATCTCCACCTAACACCACAGTTTTGCCACCAAAAGTCATATCCAAGCTATTTGGATTTTTGGCACGCATGATATCTCTCATACTACGGTCTAAAGCTTCAAAGAAAAACTTATGCATCATCGGTGCCTCATCCCAAATGATCAAATTATATTGCATTATCAATTTTGCCAAAGGACTGCTTTGGCTGATGTTGCATGTTGAATCTTCATTAATAGCAATTGGTATTGAAAATCTAGAATGCGCAGTTCTACCTCCTGGTAATAGAAGAGATGCTATACCACTTGATGCCACATTTAAAACTATATCACCCTTTGACCTTAAAGCAGACGACAATGCTCTCCATAAGAATGTTTTTCTCGTTCCACAAAAAATAACTAGGTTTTAATTATGTTTCAATGATAATCAGGATCCATGGGACTTCTAGGGCATTCTCCTTCATATTTTTGAACCAACATAATGATCTTTTAAATTGTTGTAGTCGTGTCCTCATCACGTCTTCACAAGGGTAGGTTCAAAGGGTATAGTGATCCCTACCTATCCTATGCAGGGATCGACCGCTGAACACAGTTGTTTCCGATTTCAAAATACCCTGAAAATCAATTTTTCATTCATTTGGGGATCGTTGGAAAAATAACATTAAAATGACATAAAATGACATGTTAAGTGGCTATTTTGTGGTACAATTATCAGTGGGGTCCACTTCTAATTTGGGCTGGGTCAAAGTGGATTCGGGTTCTTCGTAGTGAGACGAAGAGATTGATATATTGTACGCTCAAAACAGATAATGGGTGAATGAGATATTCATTCTCAAAGTAGACCCACTTGAGTTGGAAAATGAAGGGGAAAAGTGAGCTTTTTGTCCCACATTGGTTTGGAAAAAGGATTTGACCCCATTTTATACAAGAGCTCTTTTGGAGCTTGTAGAATTGTATAGCATAGAGGCTCTCACGCGTGGGGAAGGGCGGGGGTGGGGGGGGGGGGGGAGTGCAAATCAAATTCTAACTAGAAACGAGATCGGAAAGGCTTGATTCAAGCCCGAGCTCGTGTGCGCCAGCACCTGGGGGCACGAATGTCGTCCGGAAATTGAACCGTTGTACGTTTTATCCTGGGAAACCTAGACCACAACGCTCCTTGCCTAACTCGTACTTTTCTTTCCTCCTTTTCCTTCTTCCTTGTTTTGGATTATGCTTTTAAGCAAAAATCCGTTCTCCCTCTTTTGATATATTCGTTGGATTGGACTTAAAATCTGAGGATTATTGTTCCAATTTTGGTTGATATATATTGGTATATATTTTCCGTAGATATACATGTATATATAACCTTTGGGTCCGTTTTATATATAATTGTGTGTATATATATATTTCGAATAAATATCCAATAATATTTTATATACTTGTGTGTGTATATATATAAATATTATTTTTAGGATATTAAATCGATTTTGGTTCATTATCACCAACAGCTAATTGACTAATTGACTGAAAATAGAAAAGAATAATTGGCTGAAAATGAATATGATATTACCAATTGACTGAAAATATAAGAAGAAATGAATACTAATAGTTGACTGCAAATAAAAAATGATCAATAATTGACTAATATAAAAAAATAAATGGTTAGATCATTGCATTTTAATTAAAGATGGAACGGAAAGTAAAATTGGACGAAAATATTTCAATAATAATATTTTACATCATAAATAGTACATGCATATCTTAAACAATAGTAAAGGTAAATTAAAAATGGAACGGAAATATTTCAATAATAATAGTATACATCATCAATAAAAAAAATAGAACCAAAATTAGGTAAAAATATCATTGCATATGATATTTTAATTGACTAAAAATAACAAAAGAATAATTGGCTGAAAATGAATCTGATATTACTTTTTGACTTAAAATATAAACGGATCGCTAATTCACTAATATTTTACCATTATATATTTTCATTCGAGTCACCCATCTTGATGGACTGAAGGTGTTATCTCCAGACGAAGATGGACACAATTATGTTGCTACATACTACCAATGTCGTCTACAAAGAGATTTCAATAATGTGTAAATACAATTGTTGATATTATGTGTTTTTTTAAAATGACAAAATTGCTATGTATCTAGACAAAAAAAATATATCTTCCATACAACTGAATTAAGATAGCAATTCATTGCTATAACTGTGTTGCTATAGAAAAAGCACATTTGCCTAGTTTATATATATATTTAAAAAAATACTAAACAATGATAAATAAAATCTCCAAAGTTAATGCACCGCATGCGTACATCTTCGCATTAGCTATAATTTGAGCAATTATTTGCTCAAATTCAAGCAATGATAACATCAAAACACATAAATGATCCATCCAAACCACATCTTCAATAGCACTATGTAATATTTGGTGTTCTAATTTAAATAATTATATATCAATCCAAATATTCTTAATATATTACAACACTTACCTCTAAAACATAATATAATTGGACACATTTACCTCTAAAAATTTGTCAATTAACTTTTTTTGCAGGTTACCTCCGACGGAGTCTGACTTGACCCGGTCACTGATTATGTGGCAATGATGACATGTCAATTAAATAACAAAATTAACCTCATCCTAAATATATAATTCCAAACCCTAACAGGGCGTTTGGTTGGAGGGAGGGAATTATGTGGGAAAGGAATTGTAATTCCATGGGAGTTGAATTACTGGGAATAAAGTGGGAATTTAAATTCTAGTGTTTGGTTGACAGGAATAAAATTACTGGTAATTTCATTTCCAATGTTTGGTATACATGGAAATTGAAAGGGAATAAATAGTATAAAGTCAAAAATGTCCATTATTGTTGTTAGACATTAATTTTAGGTTAAAAAATGAAGGGGTAATTTTGACTCATCACTATCTTTTTTTCCCAGGAATTAAAATACCAGGGGGGGACATGGGATTTTAATTCCATGAAAATGGGGGAATTGCAATTCCATGAAATTGCAATTCCCTCCAACCAAACTACGGAATTTAATGGTCTTTGGAATTAGGTGGGAATTAAGTGGGAAGGGAATTTAAAATCCCTCCAACCAAACGCCCTGTAATTGTTTTTTTTTTTTTTTTTTTTTTAAATCCATACCCTAATTATTAATTCCTAAATTATTAATACGTAAATTAATTACCACATAATCACCCTAAATTCTGAATACGTAAATTCCTAAATCCTAACCCCATCCGACGACGCAAAACTAAAACCAGTGAGAGCCCATTCTGAATACCCCATCCGACGACAATGCAAAATTCGTTGTGTTCGAAGGCGTCGATTAGGTAATTCAAAGGTGTCGATTAGCTTATGTGTTCAAATAAAATTAGGAAGTAAATTCCACATTATTACCATTTTTATTTAAATAAAAGGGAAAATGACACTTTTTCCCCCTTTGTTATATACTTATAGCACTTTTTCCCCCTAAATTATTTAGGTGACAGTTTTTCCCCCTGATATATTAAATGGACATATTTACCCTTAAAATAAATATTTCATTTGTTTTTATTCTCCAACAAATTATAAGCACGATTTGAAAAAATAAAATACATTAAGTGTTAAATTTAGAATATTTTAAAAATAAAAAAAATAAAATTTTAAAAGAAAGTTTGAACCAACCGTTCAAATTGGATCCAAAATCGTGAACCGACGGTTCAAAATAAAACTCGAATCACGATTATATATACTTATATGTGAGAGTCAATATAAATGCGGAAAAAATATACACTATTTGTAAATATTATAATTCTAATTTAAGCTATTGCTAGTAGTTGTTCCGATTTGAACCTCCAGTTCACGGTTCAGGATCCATTTTTTTCTAGTTTACGATTTTAATAAACGGAAACCCAAATATTGGGTTATGTTATGAATCATAACCGAAATTTTTTAATTTGATTGCTATAGTGTTTGGTTCAGTTCGAACCGAACCGTGGTCATCCCTACGTATAAGTAATAATTTGGTGAAGAAGAGAAATAAATAAAATATTTGTTTTAAGGGTAGAAATGTCCATTTAATATTATCAGGATGAAAAACCGCCACTTCTATAATAATTGAGGGGGTAAATGTGAATGCATGAATAACACAGGGGGAAAAAGTGCTATAAGCATATAACACAGGGGGAAAAAGCGCCATTTTCCCTAAATAAAATTACATATCTGCAGTGTGGACTGGCAACCTGAAGGTAACCTGCAAAAAAAGTTAATTGACAAATTTTTAGAGGTAAGCGTGTCCAATTAGATTATGTTTTAGTTGATGGGGGGAATTAAGCACTTCGAAGTAATAGATGGGTCTATTTGACACTTGTGCCAAACAAAATCTTGATTTGAACCGATATGAACAGTATATTAGACTTTTTGATTTGAGTCAATCAATTATATACAATTTAAATTAATTTACTTCATTGTGATTCTTTGCTTGACAGTCTGACAACACACGAATAACACATTTACGATGTACACATAACACTATTAATTTCTGATGGATAATATATTAGCCCTGGGCCACAAGGACCGGCCCATGAAAGCAACTGGATAAGGAAGCCCAAGAAAGATATATGATATGGAGCAACCCAAGAGTTCGTCAAAGATCGGACATGTTATTCCCAGTATAATTAGAATTGGACTCATTAGTTCTAGTATAGTAGAATTAGATTTTATTATATAACTAAGATTCCCAATATGAGGCAGTCTAGAATTCTTATTCCTTGTATGGCTCTAGGCCCAAAAATATGTATAAATAGACCCCTCACATAGAGAAGAGGGGACAACTCTCAAGATTCACAAGCAATATTCATTAATACAAAGTTCCTATATTCTCTCCATATATTTTTCCTATATTTTTCCTATATTTTTCCTATATTCTCGTTATTCTAACGGTAGTGTTGGCCTACCATTGACTGTCCAAAAGTCATAAAACCAACATTGGCACCGTCTGTGGGGATCGATACGAAAAGTTTTCGTTCGTTCCTCAAACCCCTGAAGAATGGTAACCGCACGACTAAATACTGGAACTGGCCAACCAGTCACTAGACCCGTCAGAAATTTGAGAGAAACCCTCAGTCGACCCCCCTCGCAGGTACCATCCGGTCGGCAGATTCC